ACTGGATGAATGATAACGTATTCTATGGAACTGTTTGCATCTAGGCGATCCAATTTCTTGGTTTCCGTATGGACTTCGTCTCTAGCTGCATCGGGACGGGCCTTGAGAAAGGTTGCGTCGGTGATTCGATCCCGGATTTCCTCGATAGAATTGATGCCGCTAGAGTTGGACCTAATTGTTGACATTGTGGATTGCACAGATCTGCATCCATATGTCTGAACACCGGGACAATCGCGGCGTTTTTAAAGCCCCTTGAGGTCTTGGTGTATATACACTTATGGATATGGACATGCACATGTTGTCACGTAAGTCGAATGCTGAGGAGACAGCAGCCAATCATTTACATGGGGTCTCTTTAGAAGAAGCAAAGGCAATAGTCTCTGTTGGCGGCTTTTTTGGCCGTCATTATATCCCGTGAAGGGCGGTAATATTCAATAGGAACAGGGAACAAGCTTTGAACACGTTTCGCTGTGCAAAGGGTGCTCTGAAAGGGTGTCTAATACGGATGAACTAGGATCTGGTGCTGATACCTTTTCGGTCACCCACCAATATTTCCATTTCGTCCTCATCACTAACGTACTGTTACTGTAATTTTATTACCTAATCTCTGATCGACGTTTTCCCTGGCTACTGCATAGAGTAGGGCCAGAGTAGGCGGCTCGAGTTACCCAGAGTAAAGCTCACAACGATTTTGGACGGGGACTTTTAAGGGGGAGGCCGATTTCATAGTTGCATAATAAAATTTGATTCAAAACAAAACAAACCCGCCACAACAAGGCTGAGACAGAGCCCAGCGTCTACTCTAATTGAGCAGTAGATAAGAGCACAAACGCAACATCATTCCTTATCTGTTCACCCCGCATAGAGGCTGAAAGCAATCGATTGGATGCGCTCTTTTCGAGATGCAATGGTACGTAGCACTGCCACGATACACCAACGACGCCGTGGGAAGCTGCCTTGAGCGTGTACGTCTTTTTAGTTTTCTGGCTGCCTATTTGCGACGGCGATGGTTTATATCCACGATTTCTCCGCTCGAAACCAAGAGCAACTCAATGGATCTGAGACTTGAGAGAACGGACGATACGCAACATACGGAACATACACAGACTTCACAAGCCCGTATATCACGCAACTCACGATGTCCATCATCGAAACAAACGATGCCCATATCGGCATCTCGATGGAACAGATGGAGACCGAAGGTCCTCCCTTCTCGAAACCAGCCGGCCCACCGCCTCTCACCATATCTCCCCCCTCCCCCGATGGTCAACTCTGAATTCCAGGCAACCCAATCCTCCCACCAACAACATCCATCCCCCATTACCTCACCCACCAACTCTCCGTCAAGCGCCTGAATGATATCCATCTGGACCTATGGTGGGCTGGTCGTCCCGAGAACATTCGCGGGTTACACGCCCAAAAGATATTAAAGCGAGAAATCACCATTTCCGAACGTATCGAATCGCACTTAGTCTGGTTCGACTCAAGCATTTTCATAAAGCCGTTACCGGCTTGGATACTGGATTGGAATTTCCATAACGATCATATAAGCACGGATAGTAAGCTATATGAACTAGCGAATGGGTGGTTGAAGAGTTATACAAAGCTGATTGAATACCCGTCGGATTTTGTGATTGCGAAGGAATTAGGGTTGTTACCGGAGAGAATAAGGTCCTGGGATGAGTGGTCAGATTTATCGGTTGAGTTGCAGATGAGGATCCATCATTACTACACTTATAGCGTTAACGATAGTCTGCGGTACTACTATGGGGAGTTGCGGCTTCGCCGGTTGAATCATATCTATCTGTTCTTAACGGAGTTTACGACTTATCATAATATCTACCGACAAAATGACCACGTCTTGTCAGAGAACTTTGGAAGGTTGTTGTTGTTTCTAGTATGTCTTTCCACCATCTTGTCAGCTTTACAAGTGGTGATATCCACTCAACATACACCGGAGAAGTTGGTGGGCTTTTCGTATTGGTTTGGGCTAGTTTCTGTGGCTATGATTCTCTTTTTTGTGGTAGTGCAGTTGCTGCTTTTTGTTATGACATTTGTGTGGCATTTTGTAGCGATGTTTGAGAATCTTGAGAAGAAGGCACTGGATTGGAAGTTGGCACCGATGAGGCTTAAGAGTGTTATAATGGGGAGGAATGTGAGGCCGGGGAGAGTATGAGAGGAGGATAAGGAGGATGGGGCATTACTGGTGGATACGCGGGGTGGAAGTGGGTGGAGTTCGGTGATAGGTTATGATTGACGAACCTCTATTACAAACAGCACTTTGTTGTCCTGTATGCCTTTCTATGTGGATTTTCCTTCGTTTTCTGGATTTAGGCTTCTTCGGTTCCCATTTCTGTCTGTGCTTGATGATCATATGCCGCTAACCCCCTAATTACGCCTCCAGAAACACCCTGCCCGCGTAATTGTATCTCAAACGAGCGGTAACATCTGTGCCACTTCCTGAGCCTGTTAGTCACCGCAGAGGTAATATTGAATAGGTTGTGCTTGACACTAATTATTTTCCGCCGATTTTGGGAATCGTTCATATCCAGTGTTACAGTAACTGAGTAGCCTGAGGGGTTTGGCATGTTTATTATTCCACATGGGGGGTACTTGGTGACCGATCATGATGGACAAACACTATTAAGAGCAGCCTTTTCGCACTTTGGTATCCTAGTGCCCATCTTTCTATGTAAATATTCCATCGTTTTCTGTATCCAGCTTTCCCAGCATCCAGGTCTCAGTCGTGCCCACGCCCGAGGATCCCCTCTATGCGGCTTCCCGTCCGTCGTCTACACCCTCCCTGTGCCTCATTCGGCAAAATCTACGCCGTCTACTCCCGCGTCAACAAACAAGAGGAACTGTACTACCACATGAGCAAAATTTCTAAATGAACTCCGATGAAGACCTTTCTATTGCTTCCAAACACGCACCAAGGCAATACACTCCTTCGTACCGTACCAGACGATCATGACTCTGGCAGCGTTGAAGCTTACGAACAGCTGTAAACGATACGTTCAGCGTAGGTGTTTCCGGAGGAGTAACTATGGGGCACGGATATCTACGGATGGATAGCAGTATATGGACATCAAGCACAGACAGAAATGAGGGCCGAAGAAGCTTGAAGTCATAAAACGAAGGAAATTTACATAGAAAGGCATAACTACAGGACAACAAAGTGCTTTTTGTGATAAGTACTTAGAGGTTCGTCAATCATAACTTATTGCCCAACTCCACCCAACTCCACTCCACCCAACTCCACCCACTTCCACCCACCTCTACCCACCTCTACCCATCTCCGTACGTCAAGCAGTAAGCATGGCACTACCCCACATAAACGAAACACAAACTTTTAATCACGAGAACCCTTCGGTAAAGGTCCAGTCCTCTTTACCGACGTAAACTGCCGACCCAGTATTGCACTTTTAACCCTCTCTGGCTCCAACTTCCACCCCATTTTCTCCTTCTCCAAGTTCTTAACCGTTGCCGCAAAATGATAAACGAAAATTACAATAAACAACAACAGCTGAACCGCAACGAAAAACAAAATCAAAGCCACAGACAACAACCCAACCCAATACGAAAAGCCCATCAACTTCTCCGATGTATCCTGTATACCAATCACCACCTGAAGTGCCGACAAGATAGTTGAAAGATACACAACCAACAGTAGCAGCCACGCAAAGTTCTTAGAAAAAAAGTGATCGTACTGTCGATAAACATTCTGGTAGACCGAGAACCCTCTAAGAAACCGATAGATATGATTTAATCTCGGTAACCGTAGTTCTCCGTAATAATACCGCTTATTAACCTTCGTACAATCATCATTAAGCTCCTTCTGTAGCTTATAAGAAAGCACACACCAACTATCCCAAGTCATCCCACTTGGCAATAACTTCAGTTCCATAGCGATATCAAAGTCGCTAGGGTATCGAACAAGCTTAGTATAAGAAACCAACCATCCATTGGCAAGTAGATAAAGCTTCTCGTTACTACAGATATGCTTTTGATAAAAGTCGTAATCAAGGATCCAAGCAGGTAAAGGTTTAATAAAGATTGTTGAATCGAACCACACTAAGTGCAATTCTATGTTTTCTGAAATCGTGATATCTCGCTTCATCATCTTTTGTGCATGCAAGGTGTGGATATTCCCTGGTCGTCCGGCCCACCATAAGTCTAGATGTATTTTGTTGATACGATCCACGGAGAGCTCTTTCGTAAGGTAATCCGACAGCTTTGTATTCGGCGGAATAATTGGATTCCCGGGAATTTTCTCTCCCTCGTCGTTCGGGGTGATCGTTGTTGAAGGGGAGACTGTGTGGACATCCGAAGCCGTATCCTTATAGCCATCATAATCCGCAGTGACCGTCGCAACCGTGTATCCCGAAGCCGCCGTAGGGAGCGCCGTAAACCTGGCCGTGGGTCTATCAAACGGCGGGGTGTAAATGCGGGTCTCGTTGCAGCGATTGTCGGCACCGTTGATTTCGGGACACATAATTTTTCCGTGGGGCATTGAACTTTTCTCGGGTGTCTCAGGTGTCTTCGGTTCGCTGTGTTCGCTCCTTCCGTGATCGAGAATTGAAGTCGATATAAATCATGCTGTGGCAAACCAAACTGCTATGGCAGCCACCTGGCAACTACTCCAGGCAGCTATGCTCAAGGCAACTTCGTATGTACTTGTATCGTGGCAGTGATACGCACCACCGTACCGCGATGAGGACGCATCCAATCGATTGCGTGCGGGGTATGAACCGCCGGGCTCTGCAGTGCCTCAGCCTTGTTACTCTAGTTGTGGCGGTGCGCACGCGCAGGAGCTCCTCTAGAGTAGGTAACTCGACCCGTCTACTCTATACAGTAGCCGGGGAAATCGACGATGAGAACTCGCTCAGGTAACAAAAACTACTTTATCCAGAGTGATGAGGAATGTAATCTGAGTGATCTGGACGAAATAGAAAAGATGATAACTGACCAAAAAATTATGTCATCACCAAAATAATCATCGACCCCGATGCGACTCGAACGCACAATCTTTGGTGGTTTTGATAACCGAAAACCAACGCCTTACCATTAGGCCACAGGGCCATCGATGATGTCTGTGTAGCATTTTAAGTTATTTTTACACTAACGTCCTTTTCACTAGTTAAATAGTGTTGCTGCCGATGGTTCATGTCTAGAGTGCGAGGGATGGTTAACGGCAATTGCGGAACCTCCACCGAAACAGGAACGAAACACAGCCCGAGCTTGGCATTCTTGGCGGAATGCGTGTGCAACAACGGGTCAACAGATCGTCGGGTTTACAGTATATTAACTTGGCATTCTTGGTAGACAGCGTGAGCAACAACAGATCGTCAGGTTTTATATTATTCTTGCCTTAGGGACGACAGTTTGATAGAGTTCTGTCGGAACTTCACCCCTACTTGGCATTGAATCTTCAAGTGATATCCAGCTTGGATTCACTGTGCGGCTGCTTCACTTTGCCGCTAACAACCGGGGCTAGCGTTACAGGCCCCCTCCGGGTCACCTTATTTTAGCTCCTTTTAGTTCGATCATCAATGATCTGCATCTCAAATGTCTTGTGCTGGCAGGGGCGTGGCCGGGTTGGCAAACTCGCAGCTCGATGGCTGACGTACATAGGGCGGGTATACAGTGGGTTACGGTTGCTGACGCCAAAAACAAACTGTTGGACGAGAAGATTACATAGGAATGCAAAATTGTGAAGCAAATTTTGGATGTAAGGAGGTCAGGTCGACAGCCATGGCTGCGGCGTGACGCTGGATAACATTGGATTGCGAAACGAAAAGGGGAAGGAAGCGGGAATATGAGGTTCGCAACTGTATTCTTTGCACGTCCCCGGAATATGAGGTTCGCAACTTTATTCTTTGCACGTCCCCGGAATATGAGGTTCGCAACTTTATTCTTTGCACGTCCCCGGAATATGAGGTTCGCAACTTTATTCTTTGCACGTCCCCGGAATATGAGGTTCGCAACTGTATTCTTTGCACGTCCCCGGAATAGCCACTGGTTTCATGGAGAAGGCATTTATATTTCCAGAAGCAATTCTCTTGTGCCATGCGGGAAGAAAAGTGCAATTACATTCTGCACATTACCGTCGGTTGGAATCGCCGTTTGTTGTGTTCCATGCCCAACGTTCTGTCTTCTGTCAGGCACTCGTCTTTGAATGGTTCGCTATGCGACCCTCACTCGCTCACAACCCCGCCGCCACCGACTGCCTCCCTCTCGGCGCATGCCCGCCCTCTGGCCGCAATGGAAGCGCTTTCTCCTTCCGTCTGTCCGCCACTTTAGCTGCGCATGAGGGCGATTGTTCCTGTCGTCTGTCCATTTCCAGATGTAGATGCTTGCTCTAGACTGGGTATCCGCTAAACTCCCAATCAACCTCATCTTTCCCGTCCACCATCCCCTAAACTCTCCCCCGTGTACAGCAGTCAGCCCGTACAAGCAACGGTACAGACAGCTCCTATGCACCACCATCCATTCTAAACTATCCCCTTTCCTTGCATCCAATCTTTTATTTCATACCCAAATGCGCCCTTCCCCCCACATGCTACCTTTCAACACAGCATCCTAGGTGAGCAGCCACAAACATACCTACTCTTTCTGTCTTGATCGCATGCTGACTGAACCCGCCCCAGTAGCTGTTCCATAGAATACCACCCCTGCAGATCCAAGAAGGGTAGCAATCGAGAACCCCTTCAAAACAACCCTCCGTCCTTTATACTTTACAGTTCACTCTCACGACTGCGTCGGAGGTGTCGAAGCTACAGCAGTCGTTACCAATTTCCGTTTCTATTCGTTCATGACAACAACACCCGCAATCATGATCCGTCGGAGCCCTGTTAGATTTCTATTACTTCTTTTAATTCCAGTTATATACCTCCTACACAGCCATGAGCAGCTACAACTACCATCATTAAAGAGGGTGAAGTTTGTTGGAGAAAGCGGTCTCTTCAGGAAGGACATCCAGCAAGCTCCGTTAACAAACAATCTCGTAGCCCAGAATGAGGGTATCAGCAGAGGTACTACATGCTTCTATTTGCTCTCCCGGCAATGCTCTCGATCTGAGCTCAGCTTGCTAACCATTGAATGTTCCTGCATCTAGGACCCTGGATCCTCGACCCTCCACTACCGCCCAAGTTCACCACCGACGAAATCACCCTCCGCTTCAAATGTCTCTGGAACCCCGACGACCTCTGCCCGAAGCGCTACATCGTGGTCCTCCGGGGTCCCACCATCTACTCCCCACCACTCGGCGCCATCAAACAAGACCTCTCCGACCCCACCGTTGTCACCATCAAAGTACAAGTCCCCGAACCCGGACACTACGAACTATTCGCCTGGCCCGACTTCGAAGCCTGCCCGAAATACTGGCGCGACAACATGAAATACCCCATGAACCGTGGACAAGTAATGGGAACTCCGGCACGGATTACTGTCACCGGGTCCCCCAAGGTCGTAGATTCCCTAGAACCGTGTACGCTAGACAACACCGAAGCCAACGGGCGATCCCATGGGCGCTGGATAGCCAAAAACGCCCTTCAAACCGAATACCGAGCCTCTGACTGGGCATCCAGCTTCCCAGAAAAACAAGAATACATCTACCAACCTTATAAATGCAAGCGACCCCACTACACCGCCAAGATTCTAGACGATACAAAAACTGTTTCCCATATTTTATTTATTGGAGATTCTGTTCTCCGTGGTGCTTTCTGCTCCCAGATTTGGCCTGCGCTCTCGGAAAGTGGGATTGCGGATGGTCCTTGCAAGTTTATTAATGATGCGGCGCTTTATCATGCAGCTCCTAAGGATATGGAATATAAAACTCCGGACGGAAGAAACGTCAAATTGAGCTTTAGATTCGTGGATGATCACCCGGTTGAAAAGCTTCCTAAGTTGAAAGATGCCGCCAGCTATGAACACGTTCCAGGAACCCCTACTCATATCGTCACCAACCTCGGCCTCTGGTTGGCACCTTTCACAATTTCACAATACGAAAGCACTGTCAAATCTTTCCTCGAGGGACTTCATGAGCTTTATCCCGCTGCAACAATGATCTGGAGAACGACCACCGATGTTGCACCGATGATCCAGTGTTTCTCTGATAAAGGGATGACGAGATCTACTATCTTTGAGCAAAGGGAGGTTTCGTTTGATATTGTGGAGGAGATGAAACAGAAGGGGGTTAAGATGTTTGTGGTGGATGCATACACTATGACGGCTACAAGACCCGATACTGCCAATGATGGGAGACATTGGGTTATTGAAAGTCCGGATGAGATGAAGTGGTTACCGACTTCTAGACCGGCGGCGGCGGATGCGGAGAGGGCGGTTTTGGATGGGGTTTTTGATATCATTGCCCAGGATGATCGGATGCAGAGGAGGAAGTTGAAGGAGGAGACGGAGGCGGAGTAAGGGAGATAGATATGGGAGATATGGAAGCGAACATAGAGGGCGTGTGAAATGCTTAGCCCTTATCTAATGCAATGTTTTTCTTTTTTAAGGGATTTGATTTAGGTCTAGTTAAGGTCTATCTAGTTACCGGAGTTATGATTTTTTGTTGTATCTATGGACTACAATGTATACAGTTCCGAGTTTTTCTTCTTCTTTGATTCTTTCCGCCGCTACATAGAGCTAGAGTAACTTACTTATTCCATCTCCTCGATGTGATAGCTTCGGATAATCCAATTATAAGCTTGTTTAGAGAATTCATGAATCAAACTGGTGGCGCATCTTTGTCTTGTCTATGAGTACCCGATTCAATGTATGATATGCACAGTCAAGGAAACTCCAATAAAAAAAGCTTATTTCGCCAGTACCGCGGTACGGCCCGAAAGTGTCATGCGACAACTGCTGAGCGTTGAGGCTTCAGGCCCTTAAGCGAAATCGTGGGGTGAACCTGGGGAACAGCCTACAGGGGGATCTGTAAAAATAATTGGTAAAGAGTGTGTCAACAGAGTGGGGTGATTAGTATCGTGAGTGTCAGCACTACGTTCGGAAGGCGGTGCGCGGTTGTTGTGGACAGGGTCGGGGTGGTTGTCGGTCGGCTGGAGTGGTGGTTGTCAGTGTCACGATACTTGGACAATAAGGCGGTGGGCGGTTGTGGAGTGCTCAGTGCTCACGATAGTCCAGGGCACGGTGTAACAAACTGTTCGGTGGAGGTGGAGAGGCTTGATGGCGGTTGGATTGTTGACATGTCTTGGGCAGGATCGGGGTTTTGACGAAGCTGTTACACAAGACATAGCAGTTGTCTTGAACCCGAACCCCATGATTACTGATCGATCTGAGCCAAAAAATCTGAGCCAAAACATCTGAACCAAACGTTAACGGTGTTCAATAAATCCATGAATCATCATTCACTGCAGCAGCGAATACGAAGATTATCAATGTCTCATGATCATGCAATCGCTCTCTCCATCATACATAGGACATATCAAATCTTAAGGTCTAAATTTAAACTTTTGTTTCCGGTGGAGACAAAGGGTAAACTCCGCTGTGTTCATGCTATCGTTCGAGAGTAAACCTTGGTTACTTTGGTTACCTGGGCTCCCTGGATTCGGTGGATGGATGTGCAGGTGCATGATTCCGGTGGTTATGTAAGACGACATCCCGAAGGTCGCAGGTTACATCATCTGATCTCACTCAGGAGTCGGAGGGAGGCGGAGATTTATTTTAGTTCTCGTTAACTGGTATGTAGCTAGCTGTCAGTTAGCTGAGACCGCATGAATTGAGTCGCATCTTCACCGTCAAACACACCGATACTACTGCATAAATTATCTTCTTACATTAAACTCATATTGATACTTCTTTTTGCCCACCTTCCACCTTCCACTGCATTAACAGCTCCCTCCCATATTACACCAGTTTAAAATCCACCGATACATAACACATCTTCTCTTCACATCCTGTAGTAACACCCTGTATCCCCATCTGTTAAATATCATCCAACCATCATCTCGTTACCTACGCCTTAGTCTCCACCGCCGCCCCATTACCTCCACACAAAAACCAACACGGTTTCTTAGTCTATATATTCCCCAGCACCAGTCAGCAATTGCCCTAGTTACACT